AATTATACGCGTTGTTTGTCCATATGTGTCGATTTGACGCGCACGTGAGCCGATCACAGCACAGACATTGACAATTTTTTACCTCAGTCACTCTGACGAGACTCGACTCATTCTCCCTCAACATTTTCTGTATATTTACTCTGCACACCGTGCAACTGTAGTTCCCATTACTCCCATTTGTTCTCTCCATCTCCTTCCGATCCCAAAATGTCGGAAGTAACCGCAGAAAAGCCAGCGCAAAATGGCAGTTCCACTACCGAGGAAACCTCAGCGATCGGCGACGACGTTGAGATGGGCAATGACGAAGAGAAGAACCTCAAAGGCAGAGCTCGTCGACAGGGTCAGTAACATTTGAGCTGTACTCCTTACATGTTTACTGAAGCTTGCGGAAATCTAGTCGAGTTCTATTTCGCGGATTCCAACCTTCCTTACGACAAGTAAGTTAACAATGACTATAATATGAGAAGCAACAATTAACGAAAATTGCCCTTCAGGTTCATGTGGTCATTACACTCGAGGGAACCGGAGCACTGGGTCTCGATAGATACCATAGCAGCGTTCAAGCGTATGCGACAGTTCACAAAACACGGCATAGCTTGGGTCACGGATGCACTGAAGAACAGCGAGCTGCTTGAGGTAGACGAGTCTGGCAGGAAGGTCAGGAGGAGAACAGAGGTCAAGGAGCCTACGGGTCAGTTCGCACGAAGTGTTTATGCGGTGAGCAATAATTATCGTCCCTCTGCTGGAACTTTTGGCTTACTCCAGACACAGAAAGGCTTCCCTGACGAAGATGAGAAATTACAGGAGCGATTGGAGGACTTCTTCCAAGGTTATGCCAGCACTAACGAAGTTCGCATGAGGAGAGACGAGGATAAAAAATTCAAGGTGCGAATACTTCATCAACATTATAGTTCCTGAAGACTGAATACGTTCTGCTTCAGAACTCTGTCTTTGTTGAGTTCACAGAACCAAGCGGAGTCCAGGCGTTCCTGAGCGCAGACCCAAAACCTACCTTTGACGGGAAGGAACTCCTCACTATGTCCAAGTTCGTCATTTTTACACCCTTTCCTACATCCCAGCGCTCACCCGGCTCCCAGGGAAGACTACTGCGAAATGAAAATCAAAGAAAAAGGTCTCACCGGAAAGGCAGCCGACCGAAAACGAGACACCTTCAACTCGCGTCGCGGATTTAACGCCTTCACCATACCCCAAAAGGATGGAGGTCTCGCTCCCGAAGGCGCTGCACCTGCAGCGGACGGCAAGCCTAAGCGGGAGGTCTACATGGAGTACTTTGGCAAAAAGCTTTTGATTTCCAAGGACAACCACGGAAACGGCACGGTCAAGGAAGAAGACATTCCTTTCGTCAAGGGATCCACTTTGAAGTTTGAGGGCGTTGGGGAAAACTTTTCTTGGAACGACATCAAGGTCCGTATCTATCCTCCTGACTTTCATCGCATTGGGGGGCTCAAAGGGTGTTACAGAACCCCATACGCGAGCTCTTCGAGAACAAAACCCCGTATATCGAGTACAACCGTGGTGACAACCACGGGCTAGTTGGCTTCCATGCTACCTTGTCGGAAGAAGACATCGAGAAGGTGAAGAACGCTGTCAAGACTATCAACGGTAACGAGATTACCTGGTCTCAGATTGCCGGTACGGCCTCTTTCGTTCTTTCCTTTCTTTTGTTCCGACCGTTTACACCCTTAAGCAGAGGACGAAGAAAAGGCTTTCATGGTCAAGCGGGCACAATCCGGTGCTCGACATGCTCTTCGCCAGGCCGAGGAAAGGGGTGATTCCGGTAACTTCAGAGGCGGCCGCGGTGGTGGACGGGGAGGCCGTGGTGGCCGTGGTGCTGCCCGTGGCGGTGGTCGCGACGCTCGTGGTGGACGTGGTCGGGGAGGAAGAGGTGGCGGAGGAAGGGGTGGTGGAGGCCGCAACGGTCGAGATTCAGAGAAAAACGGCACTACCGAGAGCGCTGCAGACAACGCTGAAGTCGGGGAGAAGAGGAAACGTGCTGTCGAGCCTGATGGTGGCCCTGATGTTGGTGTGCGAGGCCAGGATGCTCCACCTGCTTTGCAGCCTGCGAAGAAGGTTAAAACAGACGGGGAGAGTTCGTAGTCGTCTTCGACGCCTCACACTTATCTTGTAGCATCTTTTTTTGGTATCTGTGATCTGTGTTTTCAGTACGCATGAAAAATGTACCATAGCCAATAGTCAAACGTTCTGTACTTTGTCAAATCCAGCAATTTGAAGCTCGAGATAAACCGGAAATAGACTCAAACCCAGCAGCGACGCACGGTGTGGGGCCCCTACCCCTTCACCGGCGCAGAAAACTCTGACGGGGCGACCTGGCTCGAGTCTAAACCGGAAGCATTTATATTACAATTGAACAGAGAGAGATACAATTATAGATACAGGCATAATACTATATAATACCGATACACAGAGCGTATAAATAACACAAGAACACGAAAAAGACACTCAAACTCTAGACGAAGACGCAGCAGCATTTTGTGGAGCCAAAGGCCCAGAGGGTTCCAAAACGCCCGGCCCAGCAGAAGACGGTTGGTAGTTCTTCAAGGATATCATTGCCGTTCCTCTCCCAGCCTCCTCTGCGAGAAACCTCGCAAAGTTTGGGGACTCGGGAGACTGAGGAGACGCGCCCTCGTGATTTCTGGCAGCATCGACAGGATCATCTCCGAAGTCCTCGATGATCGTTGATAACGTTCCCCGGAACGAGAAGGTCGTCGTAGTCGCCCTTACTGCATGTTCGAATGCCAATGCGCCGTCACGGTTGCTGGAAGACGAGGAACCAGGGAGCGCGCTGAGTGGATGGCTTATGGACGGAGGCATTTGAGAACGTTCGTCCGACCATTTTCGAATGTGGAGGAGAAAGCGGGCGGTAAGAAGACCGGAGATTCTGAGGGATTGGTTTAGCTCGAGTGGCTGGGAAGGAAATCGAGATGAGGAACTAACGGAAGAGTGAGAGCATTGAGCAGACGTTGAAAGAACCCGGACTATCACAGGTCGAGAATGAGAGGCGATTCTTTGATACGGAGATGAAACTTACTGGAGCACGCTGTCATGAGCAAGTTGATACACTCAGTGGTGTGAGTCATTGTACGTGCAAGCAGTACTCACAAAATTCAGAATCACAGCTCCCGTGGTCAAGATGGAAACGATGCTGAAACACGGCCCGTTCAGCATACCGTCGTCGCCAAAGCTACCAGCTCACCAGAAGTAAATGAGACCTGGGGAATAGTTAGATGTCCGTATGTACGTCGACCAGTATGTAGAAGCACTTGCCTTGCTCAAAAACCAAATAGATGAAGCCTCGCTTTTGCTTTTTCCATGGACCACCCACACGAAACGCTTGGATACATCGCACAGTCGTCAGGATGGCTGAGGAAAACTCGAATACGACCATCATTATGGAAAGCAGTGTGTTGACTGGAGCGATTGCGGGAGTTCGACAGTCAGCGGCGAAAAAAATTGGAACGTGGAAAGGAAAGAGACCTCTGTAAAGAAGTAAGATTAGTGGGACGTGCGCGTAAACAAGAGAAAGTAACTCTCACATTTGAGCGCTATGTGATCCTACGCATTTCAGACCTGGGACGTGCGACTGGAAGATCATTCGGACAGTGAGCATAATGAGACCTGGGGATAGGGCTTCAAGTTAACATACGATATCGAGAGCGATACAGAACAAGCCGAGGAGTAGGAGGTAGGCCAATATGAGCCGATTTCGACCGAATATTGCAAACGTTCGAGCAGTGAATGTAACTGAGATGAATGCTTTCAGAGCCGCGACGCGATAGAATGGAGCAATAGAGACCCACTGATGACAGCAGAGCGCCCGAAAAGACTCAAAACTCCGATAATTCTGTACCAGGTATCGCAACTGAGACGAATGAATGGTAAACGTTGAGCACTGAGCGAGCTGTCTTCACGGTTTGATAACCGAACTCGGCCTTACTGAGAAGCAAAATTATCAGCGGGCTGGGGTCTCCGAGGAATCGAGTCAGTACGCACCCTATCCCCCAGTTTCTTCGAAATCGCCAAAAGATACAACACGTTCGCTACCAGCGCGTACCGGCAACATATGTACAAGGCAGTTGATAGTTGCAGCTTTCGTTTGGCATTCCAGATGTACTTGACCTCCAGAGGGAAAGTGAGGGTATAGTCGTAGTAAAGGAGAGCTAGGTTGTGTGAGCTGAAGATTCTGGAAGTTCGAGGGTAAGTTCCAAGCACCTATGCTAGCCCATTGTATCGCGAACTGGAGGAAACTGTTCAGAAGTTTGCACGGTAAGAACAGACTGTTTCAAGTTCGATAAGGAAAGACATACCGAGTGGAAGCAGCCCGCTCCTCCTTGGAAGTCATTGGGTAGTGCGAAGTGAGGGTGGATGTGTGGGGAAGAGAAGGTCTGGCGACAACAAGTTTATCAATGATCTTCTGACCCGCCTTGGACCGGGAACATGCTTCTGAATGATGATTTTCAAGCGATACCCGGTGCTCCAGGTATCCCCGAGACTCAGAGAGGCTGTAACCCAAGGCGCTGATCAGTAACAATTTCATGTTCAAACAGTTAGCAGGTCTGTACTCGCCTTGAGGGGAACTCGGATGCGCTCGCAATTATTTTTAGGAAACCAAGCCATCAGACCAGGAGTCAGAGTAGCGAATAGCAACTCGCCTCCCACGAGATCTGTAGTTTCGATTTGGTCAATACATTAAAGTCCCAGCAGTGATATGAGATGGGAAACTCGAGGGCCGACAAAAATCAATACAATGTCAAGGTGAAATGATCTGAGTGATCTGATTCTCTGGGCCGTTGGCTAGGGAAAAGAGGCGCACAACATTTGGCATGCCAAAAGATCAAGTCGTGGAGCGTAGAAAAGCAGGGCCATCTTCAGATGGTTGTGGTGGGAAACAAGAGACAAAGCAATGCAGGTTCACCCTCATCGTCAACCCATGCCGGACAGCTCCAGTAAAAATTGCGTGTCTCCCTGGCTGGGAGTCGAACCCAGCTTTCGCGCGCACAGCAGATTTTTACAGGCTATGACAGGCGCGTGTACTAACCGATATACTACCAGGGATTTCCTAGGTTTGAGTTCATATCATATATATCAGGTCCGTGGTTCAGACATGAAAAGGCACAACAAATGAAATTTGGGTCCCTAAAGGCTAATACCGTTCCTCCCCACACCCCTGGTGTTCCTTCCAAATGCGTGAAAGAAACGACGACTCTCATCGTGCAGAGTTGTCAACTTGGAGATCAAAGTCAAATCACACTCCCCAGATACGTCTTCACAAGATCTCAAGGCTGGTACTCAAGCCCCAAGTTTGGTGGCCCGTCGTACTAAGAAGTGCTTGAAGCGGATCCGTTTATTACGGTTCATCTGAGATCGTCCAGGTCCAAGTGTCCCCAAGTTACAATTACATCTTACAAGCCCAAATTACGCCCAATAGACCCCAAGATGGCTAAAAATACTCTCTAGAATGGCAGGCTCAGCACCGCCTAAAAATTAAAGAGCGAACCGAAGCGAGTACGTACCATGCATCTGTCCGACTTGTAGCCTACACTTGTCCCTCGTCTTCGGGAATTTGTCTTCCAGGTTCTTTAACATCCCCGGATGCAAGTTCCTTGTCGTCGGAACCAAAGGATTATCCTCATCCTCGAGACACTTGATCTGTACTCGAAGTTTTATATCGCAGCCGTCCGCAGATATAATCCCGTCCAGTCGCTCCCAAGCCGGTTGGTCGTATTTGAAGTCGACGAGACTCTCCCATTCGGAGAGGATGTAGACATTGAATTCTGTGAGCGAGAGAGACGTGGAGGACGTCAGGTTATCACACCACCAGTTGAGCGTCGTTTGACATTGGTTGGGTTCGTCTGCAGCGAGATCGATTCCGAGGTGAACGATCCGAAGGGAGGAGATGTCGAATGGAACTGTATACGATTCGTCACCCGCGACTGATGAGTACGAAAGTTTAGAATACAATCTTGAAGTGGGTAGAACAAGGAAGAATTCACTGACTGATCGTGATATTCATTTCTCTCAGAGAGGTGCTCGCCTGAACGACTCGATGCACCACTTTGAGGTTGTCCCTGAGCTCCGCGACGAGGCTGAACTTCTGGAGAGACGACAGGGCTAGATTCGATTGCGGGCCAAGCAGCCACGCACAAAAGCGAGACGAAAGCTCTGGCTCCATGAAAAGCGCCAAGGAATCAATCGCTTGTTGTTCTTTTCGCGACTCGGGAGTCGCAGATATCGGGGCGATTTCACAGTCAGCGCCCGCGGGGGGCGCGGTCTGTTCGCGATCTACTGCCTCCGCAGTGGCAGAATCTTGGCTCTGAGTATCCGGTTCGGCGTCAGAATCCAAATCATCGTCCACATCCACCGCAAAGAACGTGATGTTCTGGACTGCTCCACAATTTGAAACGACCGATAAAAGCTCCTTGAATGACGAAAATTGAACGCACTGGAAGCCTATATGCGTGAGTTTCGGGGACCTCCACGTCTCAAATAATGCCTCTTTGATTGGCTTCGGAAGGGATGCCATCTCCAGCAAGGATTCCGACATGGATCCTGCGAGGTAGATTCGCTGTAGGTTAGGAAGAAGGGAGAGAACCTGTGGCAGGGAATCGTCATCCTCTAACCAGCCACGCGTATTAGGCATCCCGTCTTCTGTGGCATCGTCCATGTTTCGAATCCGTAAATCTTTGATGAGTGAGGCTATACGCGGGGAGGCCTCTAACAAAATCCGAAGCCGCTGTGCCATCGTCGTGATGGGAATAGAGGTATGCGGTACTGAAGGCTCCCCTGTGGCGGAGGTTTCGGTTCCTGTTTTGGTAGGAACAGGATTCAACCTGACACACTCAAAGAGAGCTCTCTGAGCAGGTATGTGAAAACCTTGGGAGGTGAGGCAGCACTGCTTTAGCGCTTCCTGATCTCCCTGAAGAAAATCGAGCGTCAAGTCAATAAGCTCTTGGGAAAATCCAAGTCTTCCTTTTCGGAATGACATTGACTCCATATCTCACGTCCGAAGAGCAAGTCGGGCAACGTTTGGCACTGACAAGCATGAGAATTAATGCCCGCAGCACACTCGGATGTCGATTTTATACCTAACTGAGTCGAGCGCTGTGAGCAGAAAAGTTCCCTACTATAAGTGAGATCGTTGTACAGATATAAAGAGCCGTATGAAATGTTCAAACCTTTGAATTATGATCTAGGTGTCCTCGAGGTGGTGGTTGCTGAAGAAGAAGCTATAAACTGCCGCTTTGACATCGCACAGCTGTGCTCCAATCAGTGGTCGGCAAGCCACGTGAGCGGTCCCAAGGTCCACCGGCTCCAAGTCCACTGCACGTTGAAGGCAAATATGGTCGCGACCACTTACAAGGGAAGCACCTGGAACCATGAACGTTAAATACTGGATATACCGACGAAAATGCAATCTTGTAGCGAGTCTCATTACCGAGATCAAACACTCGTCAAACCCCATCCACCAATCAACGCGCCTCGAAATTGCCTCTAAACCAGTTACTCAACGAATCGCCGCGATCCTGACGAGCAGGGAGAGAGACGGAAGCATTCTCCAGATTCCGATTGAGATGTTCCTCGAAATATCCGGTATCACGACCGTCCGTGATGTGGTGCAGAGCGTAGCCCAATACTGTCGTCTGGAACAACGCCCCGCAGCCGAAGATCACCGGCACTGTGAGGTGGGGCGTTGTAGTCTAGTTAGCAAGGTATTGGGTCATCAGCGTGTGCAAAGACAGGGCAGATAGTGATTGATCAGGGCAGGGAGAAGAAAGTAGCATACCCGATCGCAGCGCTGCACATGGCACACAATTACATCTCTATCCCCAACAGAAATTCAGTCAACGGCCACAATCTTTTGAGAAAAGACGGCTAGGGTTCGCAATGATTCCTGTGTAGTCATGATGATTGTCAACCAATATCAACACCGGGAAACACTCAGACTCTGATAGATCACGAATGTGATGCCAGGTCAAAGGAGACAAGATGGAGCGCGGGATCCTCAACTGCGCATATCTAGACAAACTCCTCCGCCTCACGCCTCAGATGTTACAGAATTGCATGTAGGACCATGTGAGAGCTCTATGTTGCTCTGTTCTCGTTGTGAACGGTGTAAAAGCTTCAAAGCGCAGAGTTGGACTCTTGACTGGTCCAAACCAACTCGCGAATCTGCTTACTGGGAAAGCTCCAGCCCTGATAGACGCCTTCCGCACATCATCGGGAAACTTTGCAAGCAACAAAATCTTTCGATTCTGTGACAACATGATCTGGCTTGCCAGGGTCTGCACTGGTGCTTCGAGATCATAATGCTGCGGTAGCCTACTTACAGGTCAACGCATCAGTCAAGTTGGAAACGATAACAGAGTTTTGGAAGCTTACCGCCATAGATAGAGCCTTATCTCCAGCGGCGAAATTGGCTAGTATGTTCCCTGTGAAGTGGGACATTCTTTCCGTTCCTGTCGCTCCGGCACTGAGACGACGAGTGCGATGAGAAACCCATTATATGCCTGCTACAGAGACATATAGTGCCGAGAGTGTCCAAGACGATGAGGGAGATTAGATGATCATGGCGGTGGAGGATCAGCTGGGCAATCAGCGCACCCATGGGAAAATTCTAGGCGTGGCTGTGTCGCATATATCCTCCTTCAACCCGAGCCACCATGCGCAAGTTTTGCCATGCTCAAGATTGAATCAACTTCTCGTACGGATGAAGAAACTTCAATCTGATTCAATTTCTCCTCCCGTCCTGTACCTGATACCCGCTATATACACCATACTCAGGTCCTAGGTCCCATCGCAAGGAAATCCCGGGCTCTGCCCCTCGAGCGCCCGCGCGCAAAGTCTGGCGCTACTTCGATGGAGATTGGATACTCGTCGACAAGCCGATGGACTTCAACGGTTTTTTAGTCTTGTAAAGAAACGGAGTGCCAGAAGTCTACTAAGCAAAAACCTAGAGCCAAGGTCGGATTTCCTGAGGCACTGGTGGACTTCCTCTTCCTGCTATACCGTGATGACTGCGCTCAGGTATCATAGGATTCATCAGCTGCCTCCTCTCGGACTTAGCGGCATTACGATTTAAGGCTTGTCTTTAGCTCATTCTGCCAACATTCTACCCGGGTTATCCGGCGAACAAAGATATATTCAGGCTGCACCGGAATAGAAGATCAGAGGAGATGAAGTTCCTGCGAGAAACGAGCGTCTTTTAGGCGTCCACATTGAATTCCGCTCGCGATACTCGCTCGATTGCAATTCTCGGACCCGGGCCCATTATTACTTCATGTTGCGTCAAGTTTCCACCAGCCGAGATACAGTTGCTGCCGAGCGGAGCGGAGCTATGGCTACGGTATGAGATACTTGGATACCTCAGAAAGGCACCTGAGAGCCAAACTTCTACTACATGTGACACCCTTTGCTTTTTCCAGAGCCGCAGTGACTTCCATCCTTACTATGGTCATCGCTTGGCCGGAAAATCAAACTCTATCGTTATTTGGTCCTGATTCGAGTCTTCTTTCATAAGATGGCTCTCAAATGAAATCGTTGAGACCCACCCCCCAGACCCATACCTCCCCCACGATGACCAGCAAGGCTGAAGCAGCGGCTGCTACTCAGTAGGTCGACCCCTCCAGCGTCTCACGCTGACTGATTCGACTGCGCTGACTCCCACCAGCTATCTCCAGTTCAACATACAATGGGCCAGCCTTGGTATGTACCCTCAACGCTCTTGGTTTATTCTTGCCACTGACCATGTCTCTTAGCCTTATTGTATTACGACTATGCCCTGACCTTGCCGTCAGAGATAAAATACATCTGGGGGGCAAAATTCCGCTTGTCCACCGTTCTATATGTCCTCTGTAGATATGCCCTGGCGGCGAATGTGATCTACCTCCTCGCTATTTCGCACCATCTCGGACAAGGAGACAGGGTACGATTCACTATTCTCTTTGTAGCCATTCGGCGCCGACTGACCGTCTTTCATTCCCCAGTTCGGAAACCATTTCGTCCGATGTGTAACCAGTATCTCATTATTATACCCTTAGGTGCGACGTATGGTATAA